ATACTGTATGCATATGATGTGGTTAACTATGAAAACACTAATAATAACTACTGCATACCATACACAAATAATAATATTACCATAGTAACAAACTACATAATCGTTTATTTCTACTACATGTGATGCATGTCTTGCACATATATGGAATAGCATATGCATTTGTAATAACATATCAAGTGTGAGATAGATCCTATTATGGGATGACACTTCCTCTGATGTCAATGACATTAATTTTTAAGTATTTAACAGTCTCAAAACTTATACTGCATGCATGTGTTAATAATAATTATGTTCATTATTCAAGAGTGATTTGTTTCATTACACATAGTATCTGCTCTTCTTTCTCATTGTAAGCAGTTGCTTTACCATAATACTGACCCTATGAAATAGAATAGTAATAATGATACACTGTATCTGTTACTCACTGGCCAAAAGAGTTTTGAAATTGTAGTAGTAATATTAATATGATATATTCCAGGATGTACTGGACAATTATTCTTAACTATATCATCTAAGAAGTCGCATAAATTTAATTCCACATCAATAAAAGTAATATTAGTATAATTCTTGAAATTGTATTGTAGTGTGGCATGCAGTATACCACCCCCTTGTATGGTTCTCTCTATAAATGGATTCATTTCTATTTATAATTTTGTTGTCACTCACTGATCTTTAGTACTGCTTGCCAATGGAATATTTCTCCATGTTTCAGTGGGTATAGAGTTATTGATAAATTAGTGAGTTCAGCAAATTTCTTAGTAGGAGCTTAAAATTAGTAAATTAAATTGATAGTGTATTAATGAACTTACAACAATCTGTGAATGATCCATTGTTATCTGTAGGTCCTTGTTGTTGATAGTATATATAATTCAAACAGGTATATTATCCATTAGTATAGTAGTCAGTATCTTACCATTGTAGTAATTGTTAGTAGATCCAGTCAATGTAGATACTACTAGTACAACTGATAGGATCATCAATAGGAGACTCATCTTTCTTATTAGTATTTTGCTGATACATGTACGTGAAAGTGATACTGTGAATGCTTCCCTTTTATGTTACATCATGTAAACCTACTCAACACTGTTGGAACCAGCATTCAAACACTAAAGCAAACACTGTGATGTTTGTCTTGGACTTGGTTGGGATAACATTTTTATTACATGTTGCTAGACTTCAGAAAACATGCCTTTACATCACTAGCATGTTGTTAGAGCAATGCATGCAGGCCTTGGGTTGTCATGGAGCAGACACTGTGGCATTTTGCTCCAGACTTTATGGTGAAGTTA